TGTAATCGTATTTATTTTGTATACTGTACAATCTAGCTGAGGGATAGCCTTGGATATATTCCTTTGAGGTTAGAAGTCTGTAAGAGGAAATCAGATTTATTGCTGAGAATAATTAAAGTCTGACAAGCAGGCAACCTCCCCCAAAGATAAAGGAATGGAAAAAGAAATTAACATGTACTACATTCCTCTTGTGCACTGTGGTTGTATAGTCTGTATCCTCATCACCATTCTTACCCATTTCCTTTTATATTCAAGTTAAGAATTTCCTTTTATATTCAAGTTACATGATCATAAAATCTCATCTACAGCCTTTTCCTCAACCTCACCACTACAGAGTATGCTCATCTCTCTGTCAGTTTCTTTATTCTCAAATGAGGATAAAATTGGTGTTACACACAATATAAATTTTTTTGATTAGATGAGAAAATACATGTGAAAAAGTTAGCACAGTCACTGTGTTTGGGAAATGGTCCATAACTGCTCTAATGTTTAGGCACAGTGGGGATTTCTTGCTATATGTTCTCATAGAAAACCAGAATGAACCGGGATCTGTTTCAGAGAACCATTAAACTGCTGTTGAGTTTGCTATCACAGTCACATGGGGTCATGTTGTTCAATGACAGCAGGGTGCTCAGAGCGGGGAAGTGGTCTTCCAGGTCTGGGGAATAGAGGAGAACCCCTCTTCCTATTCAGCTGTGGTTGTACCACACCATTCCAGGCCTGCAATTCAATTGCCACAGAACTTTCAAAAAATGATCCAATAGAGATTTCTGTGATAATAGATGTGGCCCAATATGGTGTCCCTTAGCCACAGTTAGTAACCCTTCACATATAGTTAGTAGAATATGAACTGAATTTAAGGTTTATTCATTTTAACTAACTTTAAATTAAAACAGTCACTGTGGCTAAGGGCTACCATTTTGGACAGTGCAGCATCAGTTACTGAAGTTTATGGCAGTCCATTGTCCTCTGCCATAGTCTAATGTCCTTGGCGGGTGTCTGGATGAGGACTGCCTCCCCTACCTAGATGCTTAAGTCTCTGAAGATGCTCAACTTTCTGCACTTCCGCCCGGGAGGTGACACTGCTTCTGGTTTATCATCATGGCAAGTTGCAGGAACAGTTTCAGGGACAGCCACTTAACACCTCCTAGGGTCTGGGAAGGTTCTGCAAACTATTACAAATATCTACTCAGACTGCACATTACAAACAGCTCTCTTTGTCATCTAGCCGTCCCCCACATCATTTCCCCCCATACAAAGCAGGCAAGGAACGAGATTACACTTCTGCAAGCATGAACCTAGTGTTTTTCCTTCCCCAGTAGTTAGTTCCCCAAGCAAATGGGCACATGGAGCTGTGGGAATGCACGAGCAGAAAGAACTGCTCTACTTAGGTATATATGTAGGTTCCTTCTGTACACTGACTTCATCTTGCCCTAGTCTGTGGAACCAGGTACCTGTACTGGTTCAGATTTGGAAAGGAAGCTTTCCATTATCGCAGCTCAGGCAGGTCTTTACTCTCTACCGCTTTCATTTTATTGGTTATAAAAGTCGAGGAATGCTCTAGCTTTCTCTGTCCCCCTTTTTCTACTTGCTATAATATGATTACTACAATTCTTGTTATTATGTGTTTACTACCCCAAGTCCTGCTGACCAGTATTACGTCCGTGCTGCCTTTGACAGCCAACCCTACCATTTGCCATTCTAGAATTCTCTTACTCTGTGGATCACAGCTCAATAGCTGATTCTTTCATTTTTAGCCCAACTGTCAGACGACAGCTAAGTAAGCTTCTCAGATATTTATTTCACGTCTCTTTTCAGTGATACACCCTTCACGGCTGACGGGAGGGCTCTCTTATTCCTCCTGAATCCTCAGGATCTACAAAGGAAGACTGTTTACCATTTCCACTTTTCCAAACCTCTCAGCTTCATCCTGAGTGCTCTGCCAGTGTAGTTCCAACGTCTGCAACCCATTTCCTGGAGGGCATTCCTGTGCTCAAGCTTCAGGAGAGCATTCCAGCAGTGGATTCAAGCTGGCTCCAGATGTCTTGCCAGAGTGGTGCACCCCAAGTCATAGGAAGTATTGCGTGTGTTTTTCTCTCTAGTGGCATTTCTTTGCTGAAGTGAAGGATGATGCCTGGGCACCTAGAATTTGTGGGGCCTTCAAAAATCTAGTGATGGAACCCAGAAAGTGCACTTCTGGAGAAGCAGAAAGTTCCTCCAACTTGCTTTAGAGGTAAGGTTTGACAGCAGGTTAAGCCCTACAGTCATTGATTGGCCAGTGGAAGGGATGCTACTTGTGCTGCATGGACTTGTACTAAGTCTCCCTGGGAAGCTGAATATTCAGGAAAAGTAGACAGTGCACAAAATGTGTCACCTCAAGTGTTACATCAACTGTGTGTAATGTGATCATTTTTGTGACTCATGTAGACATGTGCCTGAAAACTTTCAGATGACGTTATTGTTTTTATTGGATAACACATTCAACTGAAAGGTTTTGAAAATCCTGGTGAATTATTGTTGGTAATTCACTTGTATATATGTAGTTAGGTGGTTGCAAACCCTGTTTTTCCTTCCCTTTACAGTTCTGAAAATCAGTCTCTAGGAGTTAAAGTGTGATGCCTAACTAAGGTTAGGAAGTTCCATTGTGTTCCATCAGGGCTGATGATGATGATATGAGTTCTTAGCAGGCATTTACTATGTGCTGAGTACTTTACATGAATAAAATCTACTCAACCCTCACAACTGTGTCAATTAAGTATATGCACACTATTACAATACAACTTTTATAAAGTTTAAAAAAATTTTTCTCCATAATCCTCTTTTCATCACTTGTGATAGCTATCATCAGGGAAATGAGCAGAATTAATATAGGACACTGTCTCCTTCCCAAATCACTCAGAGAAGTCCTGCAACAACCCATTGCAAGGCTATGCCCTTGAGAGCCCTGTCCTTGAGTACCTGGAGCCATTCGGTCAGATGTTTGTTTTCACTTCTCATTTATCTTCCTCTTGGATCTAAGCAAACCGTAAATAATAAAGTAATGAGGATGCTTGTCTAGCAATCTGTCTTTGATAGATTAAAGAGAGCCACAAGTCAATCGATATTCTTCCTGAGACTAATTTACCTCCCGTTGAATCTGAGCTGGCTTTCGTGACTTATTTTGCTAATACAATAAGGTACAGTGCTATTTGGAGGCTTCTGAGGCTAAATCAAAAGAGGCTGTGTGCTTTCTACCCCGGTTTCTGCTGCATTAGTGATCCAATGGTCCTGGTGTAGCTGGGCTAGGGAAGCTGCATCTAGAGGACAGTGGACAGTCCTGGTCAGTCTCTTCAAGGCACCAGACCCAGGAGGGAAACTGTCCCAGGCCCGCATCTACTGACTGTCGTGACTACTACTGAAGTCATGAAGTAGGAGATTACCCATTGAGTCCCACCATGAAATGCAATGAAATGACTGGTGTTTTAAGCCACTAGCATTTGGAATAGTTATGCCCAGCAGTAGGCACTGGAAGTGCTCTCCACCTTGAAGAGTAACAGGGACTTTAATGGGCGTGGAGATGGGGACTGTGGGTATCAGGGACTGTCTCTGCACATACTTTGAAACTTTCCTATTGTTGTTCTGTATTCACAATGGAAACGATGGCAAGTAGAGACAAGCACGTTAGTGACTTTCATGTCTCGGCACAAGTCCACCTTGAGGCCTGCTTTCCCTCCTTCTTGGGGCCACAGAATTTCCAGTCCCCCTTTCTGATTTATGCTATTTGAAATAGGTTTCAGCTTATGACACTGAAAAAGCCTTCATGCAGACTGTGCATTTTATATCTGAAAGTTTTTACTTCCCTCCCCCTCATTACTAGATTTTGTCCATAACAGCGTGCAGAGAGTGACGGGGATTTCCTGTGAGTGCAGTGTCCAGAGGGTGCAAGGACAGAGGAGGTGACCAAAGCCGTGTGTGGGGCTCTGCAAGCCCCTGCTCTTACTCCCCAGCTTGGGGCTGCAGGGCCAGGTGGGCACTCTGGAGGAAGGAAGGGAATGGGAGGACAAGTATGACACGGGGACTTCCGTGTAGTGACAGACTCATGCCCTGTGGGCCTCCGTTCCCTTCCTGTGAAAGGAGCAGATGCAAAGGCTCCTTCTCTCTTCCAGACAGTGTTTTGAGATCGTCCTTCCTTCTTTTTTAAGACTACTATTTAATTACACAATGTTCTGAAGCTATCTCAGAAGTGTAGTTTGAACACGGATCTGGCATCTCTTCATGGGAGGCCACTTTCTGCAGCTGTTGCTGCCAGCCAGTCCTGGGCTCTGCCCGCCTCTAAACACACTGCACTCTTCCCAATTCACCTGCTGCCCAGCGCCTGGGATGTTCCCTGGTGTCTCCGGAGAGCTGGGCCTTTGGGCTGTTTCAATCGGAGACTGCCTATCCATGGCGTTTATGTAAGAGCTCCACGACTCTTCCATGGACACTGCTTTGCTTTCTGTTTAGCACTGTATCACGATCTCATTTCCTTAACACATTTATTTTTACTGGTTTCATTTAGGACACAACTTTTATAAACACACAGGCCTTCTTTCCTCTATCTTCCTCACCATTTTATTTCGAGTGCTCAGCACTCAATTCGCAGACTTTACACACCAGTCACCTGCTGAATTAATGACTGAGTCCTGGCAGAGCAGTTTCATATACCCCCCAGTTACCCCACAATTGTCCACCTGAGTCCAGGCTGTTGATGTCCCCTACTGCACCTGGAGTCCCGGCCACCCTTCTAAGGGAAGCCTCTGTCGGGGGTCGGAGCTCCCATTTGTACTCACCTGTGTGCTGTTTGAACCATCTTGGGAGGCAGCCAGCTACCCACTCTCATTTTCTGGCCTGGTAGCCTGTAAAAGCTGCCACCACACTTTCCCGATGCTGGATGCTAGGCTTCCATGTTTCAGCCTTTTCCAGTTTAGGACAGTGGGGCTGCAGGTGATATAAATTAGCTTCAGCCAATTTAAAAGCACATGTGTTACTCGAAGGGTTTAGGCGTATTTCACCAAAGCGGAAGGTACACAGCAGCCAGGCTTCAGGTAGAGCTTAGTCAGAGACATGGGAGGGGTCAGGGTCAGGGTCAGGGTCAGGGTCAGGGTCAGGGTCAGGGTCAGGGTCGGGGCGTGCTGGATTCTTTCTGCTTCCAGCCTGTGCACCAAGTTGCTTCTTCTTCATTCTCAGTCACTGGTTGTCTTTGTAATCAGACAGTACAACCAGAAGCAGCTCACTGGCTCCGGCTTTGCAGCTCTCACGTTCCAGCTCCAAATTCTTGGACTGTCAGTAGCTCACATTCGAATGATTCCTTAGAGTTAGCGTTTGATTGAAAGTCCCAGTGACTATGAGAGGTAGGTGCAGGACTCTGAGTCCCTCTTTGTTTAAGAGGTCTGAGGTCATACGATGCTAAGAAGGGACTCTCAGGTAGGATGATGGGAAAACAAAAGTATTTTTTAGTCTTTTTATTGGTACCAGGGATCGAACTCACGACTGCCTACTTGCAAGGCAGGCGCTTATGCCGCTGAGCTAAATCCCCAGCCCCGAAAACAAAAGTATTGATATGTGTTCTTCTTCTCATTCTTGCAGGGCAGGAGAAGGAAGATAAAAGGTGTTTCCTGCCTTCATCTTCACAAGAAAACCAGTAAGGAGTCAGTCGATACTGCCCCGTGACCACAAGTGTGTGGCAGAGAGTAAATGACAGGGAGGAGGGCAGAGCAGGGGTGTTGGGAGCCGACTGGCATTTCCAGAAAGCTTAGGGAAAGAGACTGGGGCCAGCTGTGGCTTTTAGTGACAGGATGTGAGTCTTTTAGTCTAAGTGTCTGGCATGAAAGCAGCTGAGGAGAAAGAGGCCTCAGGTGACCCAGACAAGGGAGGAAGGAGGAGTGGAGGGCGGAGACCATCACGTGGTGGTACTCTGAGTGCACTGAAGGTCCCTTCCTGGCACCAGCTGCCAGGGCTTAGCTTACAGCACCACAGCCTGCCAAGTTTTAAATAAATTGGATCTAAAGTGGCACAAAGTAAATTTGACTATGACAATGATAATTAAAATTCTTCGAATTTAAGCAATCTATATTAAGGGAGAACGTCTGTGCGCAAAATCGGGTAGGGAAATGGAAAGATGTGAAGAGATGGCCCTATTCCTTTTCAGAGGACTGGTCACCAGTGGCATCTGCACAGCTATCTCCAGCTTCGCTCCTCCTGGCACGGTTTGACTGGTGGCAAGCAGGCTCACTATGGACGCCTCTGTGATCCGGGAGTGAATCAGATGGATGAGGTGATCTGCGGTGTGCTGAGAGTAACTTGCATAAGTAGCCTCCAAAGCCAAGGAGACTTTACTTGTGCTAAGAAGTTCCAAAGATAATCAGATCAGACACTTGCAGGGAGCAAGCTTTACACTCCATAAAGTTCCTCACCCCTGTGATTCCCTAACCAGCTTGTTCCAGGTAGGCAGCTATCCTTATATTCCACCCGGAGAGGAGGAAGCTATTCTCAGCCACGTCTTCCTTAAAACTGTTTATCTCAGACCTAAACTCTCTGTATGGTTTGAAGATAGCTCACACCCTCCAAAACTCTTGTTGAAATGTAATCCTATTAATGAGACATTAAGAAGCAGGGCTATGTGGGATTTTAAAAGACACTTAGAGCTCTGCCCATCACGACTGGATTAATGGGTTATTGGATTATCTGGAGAGCAGGGATGCTGCAAAAGCCAGTTTGGCCAGCCCCCCCCACCCAACTCTGATCATGTGATGCCTGTACTATACCTCAGGATTCAGCCAGCAAGAAGGCTGTCACCCAGATACAGCACCTAGGACCTTGGGTCACAGTCCTGAGTGCAACAAACCCTTTTGCTTTATAATTTATCCATATATGGCACTGTGTCATTAGCAACAGAATGTGGATGAAGATACTATTATAAGTCCAGTCTTACATTGCTTGAGATAAAGTATCACACCACCACTACCTCCACTGAATATGTTTCTGAGCTTTGTGTACTTGAGTGAAGGCCTGGTTTGTACAAATTCAGTTTACAAACCACATCTGCAGAAACCTGACATGTACTTCTTATTCCTCTCTGTGTCCTTTATGCACCGGAGTGGGCTAGCCTTTGCAGGAGTGAGTCATCTTTTAGAAGGACAGACAGCTGTCAGTGGTTGTGGCAGTGATCACATTGCATTGTTTCTGTACATTGAATCATGGAAGGCATAATGTAATCCAGGAAGTGGTGCTGACTTCGCTCCCTGGAGCTGACACAGCCTCACCATTTTCTTGAGGGATCTGGCAGCCTGATCACTGTCACTTGCCAGTTTCTCAGGAGAAGTGAGATGGGCTTCCATCTTTTACTGTAGACTTGCTTTCTACTTTGTTCCAAGCTTAAAGTACTGTCAAATCAAGATTGCTAGAGTAATTTCCTTTCTTTGTGCTTCTTGTAATTTTTGTCTTTGGGAAATGAATAATATGAAAATATAGTATTCTGAGAAGACCCAAGTTGTTCTCAATTACTTTTTCTATTGAGGTATAATTTTTATACATGAAAGCTACCTTTTAAAAGTGAATTTTAACCACAGTTCAGTGGATTTTAGTATTTATTCAAAAGGTTGTGCAACCTTTATCATTACCCAATTCCAGAATATTTTCGTTGTCACTAAAGAAGCTTGTATCCATTAGTGAGCGCTCCCATTTTCCTCTACCTCAGCCCCCAACAAACACTACACCACTTTTTGTCTCTTTGAAACTCTTAATTAATTTTATACCTATAATTTTCAGCTTTACCAAACTTTACTGATAGATAGAAGTTACAATATTTATGGTATACAAGATGGTTGTGTGTGTGTGTGTATATATCTATATATACACACACACACACATACAAATAATCACCATGGTCAAATGAATACACTGGTTACTTCATGTGGTTGTTTTTCTCATGGTGAGAAAGATCTGTTCTCTTAACAAATCAAGTACACACACAGTATCTAATTATAGTTGTCCTGCTGTCCATTGGCTCTCCAGACCCTGTTCATTTTATAACTGAAAATATGTACTCTTTGAACAAGTATCCCATCTCCCTCACCCACAGTCTCTGGAAACCTCCATTCTTCTGTCTGCTTCTAGGAGCTGAACTTTTTCAAATTTTACGTGTAAGTAAGATCATACAATGTCTGTCTCTCTGTGCGTGCTTTTCCTGAGCACACTGTCCTTCAGGGTCATTCATGTTGTAACAAATGGTGAGCTATTCTGAAAGATAAATAGCTGAAATGAGCTTGGGTTAAATTCTGCACATAATGACATTTTAGTTAGAGAACTGAGATTACTAACTAGCATGAGCTGGAAAGTAAAATGAAAAACTGAGCACTTGATTGTCCAGCAATTTGATAATTACAATAGAATGATGTTTTGATGGCAAAGGTGGCAGAGAAGGGGGATGATGGTGGTAAGAATCTATTTTTAACACTATAATTCTTGCTTTTTTTCAATTCATTGGGCAAAATACTAAGTTCATTGGTTTAAATCCACTTAGTTTGGGATCTCTTAAAATCTAACAAGATTGAGTCAAGCTAAAATTACAAACATGGATTAAAAGATTTGCTAAGAAAGCTTGTAGTTCAAGCAAGATTGCAGGAGGACAGTTTATCTTATTAAAGAGACCAGATTATTTTAGAAGAATTTATGTGCCTTCTAATAATGGCTATGCTATTTCAAAGGCCTGTCTTTTAGTAACAGAAGTATCAAGCCTGGCCAGGCTGGATTGCCAGTACTGTGGGGTTGTTAGTCTGTGTGGTGTTGTTATAGGACAGATGGAAGGACAGGCAAGGTCACCCATTAATTTGCCAACTCATTAAACTCAGCAGGTCCCATCAATCAACACATCACAGATAAGAGCACCCTCATCCCTAAAGAGATGGAATCTGTCCCAGAGCCACAAAACCTGACTGCAATTTGATGTGAGCTATTATCATACCTGAAGGAACATGTCCTTCAGGAGGAGCGTGGTCAGCAGGCAGCAAGGAGAGGGAAGTCTCCTAGGCCAGCACTGGCAGGGCCACCTGAGCGTTGTCTAAGGAGGTGGCTGCAACTGAGGACAGAGCCATGACTCACTACCTGAGTTGGATGCCTCAGAGCCTGATGCTTTCCAAAATCTGAGTTTTTGAGCCAGCTCCCAGGTCTGATTTGCACTCACCAATTAGTGTTCTTCCTAATTATAAGTTAGCTTCCTTGAAAGATTTTATCTATAGGCCAAATCACTCTAATATCTTGGCAGACATATTTTTAAAAATAAATAGTTGGTTTATAAATTGACTGTGTCCTGCTATGAGTTAGTTTTAATTTATCTGCTTTGGTGGGATCTCGCATCCTCCTTAGTCTCTTAACTGAGATACCCATAACATAGGCTTTCTGAGCAGACGGACAGACGGCAGACGGCAAATCCCACCACTGTCTTGCTACCAACGTGGCTCCATGGCCTCCCATCAGACTTGAGTGGTTCTTCAAAGTGACGAACAGGCTCGTTTTTATAAAGTGAAAGCATTTATCCCCCAATTTCATTTCTCCAGTGTGGGCTAGTGTTACCCTCATTTTGCAGGTGGCAAATTTGGGAAATAAAGATTTTCTAAAACCAATTTACTAATTTTCATACTATTCTCAAAGTCAAGAACTATTACACAGTTTATACTCATATTTTCTCCAGTTCCCAAGAAGGTCCTTTGTATGGGGCACTAGGAAAGGTGTAAGTGACAGTGTGATTCCAAGGTAGTGTTTTGGGCCAAATTTGAATAGGTTAGTATCCATAATTTCTTTTTATTTGAGGCTTAATTTCTTTTAGACCTGATTTAATTTTAGTATTTTTTTTCCTCCTGGAAGGACCACTTGGTGGGAGACTTCTTTTGGGGTGTTAGTAAAAATTCTGCTGCAATATTGAGGGGCAAGCTAGGTATTTCAAATCAAGAACTATAAACAGATATGTGCTCAGTGATTCCATAGTCTGCTCCTTGAAATGTATCCAAAGAAAATAATTCAAAAGAAAAAGAGGAAATTGGTGTACAAAGAAGTTCAGCAGCTTGGGAGGCTGAGGCTGGAGGACGGCTAATTTGAAGGCAGCCTGGAAAAGTTGACTAATTTTGTCTCAAAGCGGGGGGGGGGGGAGAGGCAGACATACAGACAGACAGACAGACAGAGAGAAAAAAGGAACAAAAAGATCAGGGGTATAACTTAGTGTGAAGGCCCTGGGTTCAGTCCTCCACACTCCCCTACATGTGTGCACACACAAACAAAGGAAAGAAACTGAAAAAGGAAAAATTCATCGTAGCATTGTTAATAATAATAAAAAAGGTAAGGTCATTTACAAACCCTAAAATATACCTGAATAAATTTTGACACTACAGTACTTCTAGGCTGTTAAAGAGCCATAAATTAATTATGAATATTATGCAGCAATGTGGAGACATGGAAGAATGTTTACCAAATATTCTGTTTAAAGTAAGAAACCTATAATATCATGTGTCCTGTAGAATAACTAGGTGAATGTAGGTGTGTATATAAAGGGAGAAACGGAAAGTATGTGTTAGGAATGCAGGTATGTTAAAGATTTTCCTTTACATTTTATGATATTAAACATCAATGAACTATTTCATTTTGAAATAAAAGCCGTCAAATTATAAGACAATGCATTACTGAGCAGATTCCTGACACTGTGGGGGGGGGGTGGATAATTTCTTTATACTGATTGTTTATTTGTTTGGTTGTTTTTTGAAACAGGCTCTCACTTTGTAGTTTATGCTGGCCTTGAACTTGTTATGTAACCCAGGCTGGCCTTGAGCTTGCAGTGATCCTCCTGTCTCAGCCTAAGTGCCAGGATTACAGGTGTGTCTCACAATGCCTGGCTAGTTTCTTTACATTGAAATCATTTGGTTTTGGCCACATCCTTCTAGAATAGTCATCCAGTCCAGAATCATTCTCAGGGTAAGATGTGTCAAGGTTTTCTAAGTTCTAAGTTGGAAGAGCCTTTCTTATAGGATGGCTGAAGCCTGGTACTGAGTGATGTGTCTGAGGCCCTGGGCTCAGTTGCTCATGGCCATTGACTAGCCCAGTGGGTCTGGAAAAGACGTCCAGCCACTGTGGGCTTAGTCTCTACATGTCACACAACCCTGGGTCAAGGTCCCTCAGGACCACTTCAACATTATATTAATCTCTGAACATACAATTCAGGTTCACATTCATTTTCCAGACTCTACGGTTTATCATATAGCATATTCAAATTGTGAAACTAGTCTCAAGTTTTCCAGATAAGATGGATTCCTGACTTCCAGAAGACTTTCCTAGAAAAGTCAGATTAAAATCTTAATGTGTGGTGGCACACTCCTGGAACCCCAGTTGAGGCTGAGGCAGTAAACGCATGCCTTTAACTGTGAGTTAAAGACCAGCCTGGCTACATAGCAAGAACTACCTCAAACCACCACCACCACAGCAATCCAGAATTTCTGACTTTTCACGTCCACGTGTGATCCTACGTAGAGGTCTAATTTTTAACACTTGAAGATGGGGTTTTCTATGTATACATCGAATGTGCTGGATCTCACTTTTAAGGGGGTATTGGAATCCCTGGAGGCTTCTTAAATGAAATACCAGTTGCCAGGCCCTATTCCCAGGGTGTCTGATGTGACAGTATGCATTTTAATCAGTTCCAGTCGATGGCAGGGACTTTGATGTGGTAACTGAACTCTGACAGCTGCTGCTGGAGGGAATGTAACAGCACAGGAGGCCTGGGGAAGGGTAGGCGGCAAAGGATTCAACAACAGCAGGTGACGGTCAAATGAACAGCGGTAGTCATCAGCACAAAGAATATTGCACAGCAGACAAGAGTACAGCAGGTGTGGCTGTGCACCATGAAGTGGTCACAGGGCTGGTTCTAGGGTCACTGTGTGTGTGGAAACAGCTCTGTAACTTTGGTGGAGATGAAGAACTTACACTGTAGTTTTAATTTAGTATGTTAAGCCGTTTTATTTTACTTGTGAAATAACTTTACAAAGGGACAGTACCTTTAGACATGCTCCTGCTGTAAAGTGGATTCACACTTGTTGAGCTAATTAGAACAGATCAGTGAGGCCGCCATATACCATGAATCATCCTGTGGTCAGGCGTGGTGCTTTGACAATGGATTTCTGATAAATGTCCCTTTTATTTTTAATAAGCATTCATGATCTCAAAGTTATGTCAAAGTCCTTGAGTTTATTACAGTTCTTTGCCTTTCATAAAGAACAGACTATGAATTTTAAAATGTATGCCATTAAGATGCAAAATTATAGATTTATTTGACTTTTATGATAACTGGAATTTGAATATTTGCCAACTTGCTCTCTTACCTCTCAGGGGAAAGGCTGATCACCAGTTCAGTGCGTACACTTGGAAAGCACCGCTGTCAGCCGAAGGGTTCGATCGTGGAGGTCGATGGCTTTTTGTCTCCGTTGAGGCCAGGGAG